GCTGTTGAAGTCCCTGGCATGGGTCTCCTTGGCTGGAACCTGACATATAGGCTCCCCAACCCTGCATGTGGGTGGGTGGGGCAGGAGCAGCCCAGACCCCTCAGCTGGCAGCCCACCTGGGCACTGTGCACATCTGAGGGGATGGGATTGGGAAATAAGGCACATTACCCTCCTTGCAGGTGCAGGAGCCATCTACTGGGGAGCAGGTGCCACCGCTGTTACAGCTACAGACGGATGAGCAGTTGGGGCCGTAGGTCCCTGCTGCACAGGGAACTGCACAGACCTCCCCCTAGAAAAGGAGGAGGGGAATTTTGGGTCAGAGTTTGCTCCATGCTGGGTGGTTGTGGCAGGTAGAATAATGCCCACCCCCGCCTCCCCCCCATCATGTTCTAATCACTGGAACCTGTGAATAGGTTACCTTACGTGGCAAAAGGGACTTTGAAGGCATGACTAAGGACCTTAAGACAGAGGAAGTGTCTTGGATTAGCCAGGAGGGCCCAAATCACATGTGTCCTTATGAATAGAAGATGACCAAAAAGGTAGCCTCGAGAAGTCCTCCATCTGCCTGCACTGACTTTGAAGATGGAGGAAGGGGGCCACAAGCCAAATAATGCAGTGGCCTCTAGAAGCCAGAGGCCTCACTTTACAGCCAGCAAGAAAATGGGGACCTCAGTCCCACAACCCTAGGAACTGAATTCTGCCAACAATCCAAATGAGCAGAAAACAGATTCACCCCTAGAACCTCCTGAAAGGAACACAGCCTGCTGACACCTTGACTTTAGTCCTGTGAGACCCATACCAGACTTCTGACCCACAGAAATGTAAGACAGTACATTTGATTTGTTTGAAGCCACTAATGTGCTAATTTGTTACAGCAGTGATAGGAAAGCAATACAGTGATCCTCACTATTTGGGGGAGGGGTCAGGCTTCCAGATCACAGCTCTAGGATGGGCAAAGCCCTCAGGAAACTTGACCCCTGAATCTGTATTAGGTCACAGCAGTATGGAATTTAACCCTCTGCCTCTCAATCAATCTTATTTGATTCTCACCAGCAACCCCTTGATGCAGATAATAATATCCTATCCCTGTTTACCCGAACCTCAGAGAAGTTAAATGTAAATTATAATAGCTAATGCACATTAAGTCCTTTCTCAATATCTAGTACCATGCATACATCTTCTCATTTAATCCTCATAAACCCTCAGCAGATAGGAACTAATGCCTCAGCATTATTCCCACTTAATAGATAGAACAATTGTCAGAGAAGTTATGTAATTCAGCCCAGGTCATAGAGCTAAACATGGTTGATCTCTATTTGAACCAAGGCTGTCTGCTTAACCATCTGTCACCAGGTGTCATAAACCAGCTTTCCTGGAAAGCATTCTCTGAGATGGAAACTAGTGAGTTTTTAAAAATTAATTAATTAATTAATTAATTTTTGCTGCGTTGGGTCTTTGTTTCTGTGGGAGGGCTTTCTCTAGTTGCGGCGAGCGGGGGCCACTCTTCATTGCGATGCGCGGGCCTCTCACTGTCGCGGCCTCTCTTGTTGCCGAGCACAGGCTCCAGACGCGCAGGCTCAGTAGTTGCGGCTCACGGGCCCAGTTGCTCCGCGGCATGTGGGATCTTCCCAGACCAGGGCTCGAACCCGTGTCCCCTGCATTAGCAGGAAGATTCTCAACCACTGCACCACCAGGGAAGCCCCTGAAACTAGTGAACTTTTGAGAATAACCGCTACGAGGGGTAAGGGAAGCAGGACGGGCAGAGGGAGAAATTGAACTGAGGTGCAGTTGCAACAACGTCCTCAGCTGATCTGCCAGGAAGCTCTGCAGTGGGTTGGTCCTTAGAATTGTCCTGCCAGAGGAAAGGGAGGGAGGGCTTCCATACCCTGGACCAATCCACTGCCCTGGGGAAGGGGTCATGACTTCAGAGGAATCCATGCTCTTTGACTGAAGGCAATTTCTGCAGAGGGACTCAGCTGGGAGCCACTAAGTTTCCCGCAGCTAGAAGGAAGGGGTGCCTCCATCCATCCTGAATCGTGAATCTGGGTGACACCCTACACGCTCCACTATACCAGGC